CGTGATGGATTTGCTCCTTCTTCGACTTTGATCTTATGCATGCAAGTCGAGGGACTTAATCCTTTAATATCGACAATGGTCCATCCTATGGCTTCTTTGTGAGAGCGCAATATCGCTATCAAAGCTTCCTCTTCTCCTTTAGATAATTTACTTGAGATGATCACTGGTAAAGTTTCATTTTCGCCCAAAAAACATATTTCAAATGCTCCAGTAATTGCTTCAATTTTACCTCATGTGCCTGCAAAACAGAAGGTAAAATTTTAGTTTTAGAGGAATATAAATATAAATCAAAATTGATTGAATTAATATTTTTAAACTCTCTTTCTTCATCTTCGTGGCAAAGTTCAGGATCCTTAAAAAGATCATAAGAAAAATTAGATTCAATATATTCATCAATTAAAGGATCTATAATATCAACAAAATTAATTCTTTCAACATGATCAGGGCATTTCATTGCTTTGTAAACATCAAATTCAACGATCTCACCATCAAATTCCATTGTTAGTATACAACTTTTAACATAAATCTTTGTATGTGCTGTGCTTAGGAAGGGTCGGCCTAAGAGTACCTCGAAATAAGAATCCGACCTATCATGTTCCATGTCAATGACATAAAAATCTGCAGAAAAGAATAATACATCGACCTTTACAAAGACGTTTTCCATTACTCTCACTGGATAGATCACAGATCGATCAACCAACTGTATGGTTATTCATGTTTCCTTCAAAGGCTCGTTAGTAATCATTTTATATATAGAAAATGACATAACATTAATTGAAGCTCCTAAGTCACACATTGCACGTTTAATTTTGAAATTACCTATTTTGCAAGGTATAACGAACATACCTTGATCATTCATCTTTGGTGGGAGTTTTCGTTGAAAAATTGCAAAAACATTTTCTCCAAAATATATCTTTTTGTGTCCCATTAATTTCCTCTTTGTAATGCAAAGTTCTTTTAAAAATCGAGCATACATTGGTACTTGTCGAATTACTTCAAGAAGAGGTATGTTTACTTGAACTTTTTGGAAAACCTCTAAGATCTCCCTTTCTTCAGCTCTTTTATCACGCTTCATCAACCTTGATGGGAAGGGTGATGGCGTGATTTCATGAGAAGAAAGAGAAGGATGTGAGTCAGACGTACCTTGTCTTTCTGGAGGTGGCGTTTCCTCTTGTTCTTCCTGATGTGCGTCTTCCTGATGTGCGTGTTTTTCTGCTGGAACTTCGGATGAGATAACTTTTCCACTTCTGAGTGTGATGGCACTAACATTCTCTCTCGGATTTAACTCCGTTTGAGAAGGTAGTTTTCCTTGTGATTCCAATTTTCCCATAGTTTGAGCTAGTCGACTTACTTGATTATCTAACTCTTGAAGATGTGTTTCAGTTCAGTTTTGGAATTTTTCTTGGGATGCAATGAACTTTTCTTATGAAATTGCTAACTTTCCTATGAGTTCCTCCAATGATGAGTTTTGCGTTTGTTGTTGAGGAGGAGGCCTTTGTTGATAAGTTGGTCTCTGATTTGCCGCATAGCTGAAGTTTGGGTGGTCTCGCCATCCTGGATTGTAAGTATTGTTCTATGGGTTGTATTGTCTTTGTGGAGGACCTGGAAAGTTCCCTACTGCATTGATTTCTGCGTTGCCTCTTTCTTGTATCAGCGGGCAGCAATCCGTCGGATGGTCTAGCTTTGTGCATATCCCACATGCTCTTGTTGCTCCAAATTTTCCTGCAACAAGTGAATTAACTACTTCAGTTAATTTATCTAACTTATTTTTAAGGGAAAATGTACTTATCTCGTGAACCCGTCGGCTGGGTTCACTCGAAAACTGTTGAGAGTTGGCTACCATGGTTGAAATCAATTCCCTTGTTGTTGTTGGGGTCATCTTAACTAATGCTCATCCACTGGCGGCATCCACCATTTTCATCTCCATTGGTAAAAGACCTTCGTAAAAATATTGAAGTAATGTTTGCTCACTTAATTCGTGTTGTGGATAACGTGCGCAAAGCTTTTTAAATCGCTCACAATAGTCATAAAGACTTTCTTCACTCTTTTGTTGAATTGAAATAATGCTACTTCGCAACTCGCTTATTTTAGACGCTGGAAAGAACCTGTCAAGAAAAATTCGATTCATGTCAGCCCACAAATTAACTGAATTTGGAGGTAAATAAAAAACTAATCTTTAGCCAAGTCAGATAAAGAGAAAGGGAAAGCTCTCAATTTAATTTGATCCTCGGTAACTCCCTGTGGTTTCATGCTAGTGCAAACCATGTGAAATTCCAACAAGTGTTTGTACGGATCTTCAGTGCGAAAGCCGTGGAAAGTGGGAAGAAGATGAATGAGTCCTGTCTTTAATTGAAACGGAGTCCCGCCACTAGGAAAATTAATGCATAATGGCGTCTGAGTGACAGGACCTGTGGCTAGCTCTCGGATCGTTTATTCTTCTTCTGCCATCGGGATGTTGTATGCGTCTGCTTCAAAGTCTGTCTCTGGAATTGATTCTGCTTCTGAACTTTGCTCTTGTTTTTTTCTATTTTCTCGAAGTGTTTGTGTGTGGATTCTTCGTGCTCGTGCTTCGATCTCTGGATCTAGATCTACTAATTCACCTGGGTTACTTCTGGTCATAAATAAAAAATTAGAAAAATAAATCAGTACTTGTCATTAGTCCCCGGCAATGGCGCCAATTTGATAACCATCGTTTTGCTATCAAAATAATTCCTGGCTTCTTAATAAATAAAAATGAAAATGTAGTATAGAGAAGCAGGGTCGATCCACAGGGACTGTGGTGTTTCTGATTTAATAAAACTCTTTCTTGATTTTAGAAAAAGATAGAATTCCAGATGAAGTTGAAAAGATATATTAAAATAAAATAAATAAATAAAAGAAAAATAATATAATAAGAAATATTAATAGTAATAAATATAAAAGGGTGATTTTTTTAAAGTTGTGGTTAAAATAAAAATAAGAATTAAATAAAAGAAAAAATAATTAAATAAACAAATTAAAGAGATTAAGATAAAGAGAAACTTATTATGAAAGCAGCCTCAGACTTCAGCTTCGCCTCAAAATCCTCGGATCATCGAACAAATTTTTACTTCAAGATTCACGTAAGCTTACAAGAACAATTCTTCGCTGCCAACTCGGATTGTGTCATTTCAACAACAACTGATTCCGATCTCAGTTTCCTCTTAGCAAACAATTTTGCTAAGTGTGTTCTCGGGAAGTTGAATATGCTTCAATAAGCAAATCCTTCTTCAAACATTAACCATAACAATATTCGGACCAATGTCGAAATAGTTTTGATTTGAAAAGTAAGATTCAGAAAACAGAGAGAAAATCCGAAGCGATTTAAGTACCTTACAATTCTCACGTTTAGAATTGAGCCTTCGCTTTAGTCTTCTGCTTAAAAGAAAATTATCTAAGCATAACCAAAGTCATACTTAGCATAATAGAAAAGTATGCAAAAAATAGAGAGAAAGCTAGAGAGAAAAAGAAGATTTTATTCTCAAATGAGAGAGATATGTTTCTAGGCTCACCCTTAAAGGGTATTTATAGCCTTCAAAATCCTAAAAAAAACTAAAACATCTTAAATCCTAATTAAAACACTCAAAACTATTTAAACTAAAATACCTAAAAATAATAAAATATAATATTCTAAATCCTAATTAAAATACTAAAACCTATTTAAACTAAAATACAAAGATAAATATAAAATATAAAAATAATATCTTAAAACTTAATTAAAATACTAAAAACCTATTTAAACTAAAATACAAAGATAAAATATAATGTTTAAAATATTATCCTAAATTTGAGTTTAATCCAAATCCGAATTCCAGCCAGCTTTGATTCCGAAAATAAAAAATCTGCAGAATTGTGTCCTTTTTGTGCAATTTCCATAATCTTACGTCCTATACAAAAAAATGAATTAAAATGAACAAATAAACCACAAAAATCAATAATTAAAGAATAATTTAAAAAATAAAATATTAATAAAATTAAGCACTTATCAACCTCCACTATACGATATCGCTGCATTGAAAGATAACAAGGTACGAAGACGATAGTATCCACGTTTTCTTCTTCAGCAAACTTCATCTGGAATCAGGGAGTAATGCTTTTACTAATTGTCTAAAATGCGAGCAGGTACTGGTAGCAGCTGCCGTATATTACGAGGATATGTATGTCAGCTTCAAGCTGGTGATGGAAACAGCTTCTCAGATTGCAGGAATAAGGTTATGGATAACTAATGAATACATGCATTCAGGGCTACGCGATGCAGGCGGGCAAGTTTTCGATCACTTGATGGGGATGCTTAATGGAAAGAAGCCTTTGTTCTGAATTCCTAGTTAGATCCTTGACTGCGTGTATTATCGAGCAACTTAAACTTGGTTCCAAAACTCTATCAAACAGATAACGGTGGTCGCATCATCTTAAATTTTAGTTGCAGAACAAGTGAACTTGTTCAATTTCTTTGAGACTATTAAGTCGATCAATGCAAGGGAGACTGGATTAGGCTTTTAAAATAGTGAACGGTAATGACCATCCAGCTCAGTTGGTAGAGCACAAGGTTCTTAACCTTGAGGTCGTGGGATCAAGTCCCACGGAGGGCATTTCATAATTCGGAGGTCTCTTACGGAAGCTGCTCTCAACTTGATGTTGGGAGTAGCCTACTATCTTACCTCCCCTACCTCATATATATGGGAAAAAGGGATAGCCATTTTAGTTTTATGTTAAAAGAATATTATACATTATCTGAAAAGCTTATCAACAATGGAAAATGCCACCTTTGAAAGTTACCTCTCACAAAACGTGTGACATGTGTAAAGAATGAATTAAATAGGAAAATGATAGAACCAAAAACAGAGATATCCATCCTCTCTCGTACGTGTTTCTTGTAAACAGATCCAGCAATCCACTCCCAAATACAAGTGCCACGAACCCAGATGCCTCCCTCACCCTACAAAAAAACACAAAACAACTAACAACCTGGGAACTCAGAGCTCATCGTCAGATCATCAACCTATCCAAAATCAACAACACTTTGAGTTACTTACTTGGTACAGGAATGTCGCAGTTGGTGGACAAAGCTAAGAACTTCGTGGTGGAGAAGATGGCCAACATAAAGAAGCCAGAAGCCGATGTTACAGACGTTGATCTGAAACAAGTGAGCCGAGAGAACATCGAGTATCTGGCTAAAGTCTCCGTCAACAACCCCTACAGCCATTCTATCCCCATTTGCGAGATCTCTTACACTTTGAGAAGTGCTGGAAGGTTTGTTTGATGATCCCTCTTTATGATCTTTTCCTTTTTTTGGGGAAACAAATCATGTGAATTTTTGTTTATTGATTTTGATCATTTGTGTTGGGAAACAGAGACATAGCATCGGGGACAATACCGGACCCGGGGTCGTTGAAAGCCGACGACACGACGATGCTGGACGTTGGGATGAAGGTGCCGTATAACATATTGGTAAGCTTGGCAAAGGATATTGGTGGAGATTGGGATATTGACTATGAATTGGCGGTTGGTCTTACTATTGATCTTCCCATCATAGGGAACTACACTATCCCTCTTTATAAGAAAGGAGAGATCAAGCTTCCTACTCTTAGTGACATCTTTTGAATTAAACTAATTATCACGTATCTCTCTCTCTCTCATACATACTCGTAGTTTGCCGGAAAAATTTGTATGTTTTCCCCTTTAGGTGTGCTGTAACATGAAGGACGTATGGAAGTATTATGTTGTTTCTTTTAATATGATATCCTTTGTTCACGATCATGGCACGAATTTTATCAGACATCAGTTAAGCCTTAAGTAACAAACAGGAAAAAGAGACGAGAAAATAGCAATTTTGCAATATGAATGCAACTATGCAAACGGAAAATCAAGGCCGATTCAATCTTCTCTCTTAAACGGAATATATTCCTAACCTAAGAGAGAAAAGCTTCATGCATGTGTGTTAAAGGGTGAATTATTGTCAATATCTATAAGATTCTCATCTAGAAGCTTGATTAGGTAAAGGGTGAATTATTGTCAATATCTATAAGATTCTCATCTAGAAGCTTGATTAGGAAGATGGTACTAGGGATGGGCATGAGATCCGGACCCGACCCGATCGAGTTTTTTTTTTTAAATTCGAGTTCGAGTTTAGGGTGAAAAATACCCGATCCGAAAAAATATATAATTTTACTTTAAATATTTAGGAATAATTACAATAATACCTCTCTATATATTATTTTTTCTCAATTAAGTTATTGTTTTTATTGAATAAAAATATTTTTTTATTTCGGGTCGGGTCGGGTTTTTAAATTGTATATCGGGTCGGGTAAAAACTTATTTTGGTCGGATCTCGGGTGGATGACTCCTTTTTCTCGAATCAGGTCGAGTGAACCAAAAACCCGATCCATGTCCAACCCTAGATGGTACCCTAAGTGGCCACGGGGTTCGGTAAATGGCCAACTCCAAATTGATATTCTCTTCATCAAAGGGCGGCTTCTCTGAAGTCATATTCGATAATTGCAAAAATTCTAATACCCTGAATTTTGCAATTTAACTCTCTTTTATTTGTTATTCAAATTTTGATTCATTTTCCCATTTTTCATGCTAAATGTCGAAATGTTTATCACAAAAAAGGAAATTAATTCACTCAAAAAAGTATGAAGAAAATTTGATTAGTGGTTGGATCACTTAGAAAGTAAAGTATGATGATGATGATGAGGCTGATCAATTTGTCAATGCCATGGAATACTTGTCCCTTGAATACCAAACTTGTTTCAAGTGTTAGTATCACTAACATTTCGCCATTGCCGGGGAAAAAAAATATTAAAACCTTTTAAGATCGCAGCAAAAAGTAAAATAAAAAAAATATTTACTGTTTGAACCTTGAACTGTATTGATTTTCTAATTTTCATATATAAACTCTTTTGATTCTCACTTTAGCATTTAAATTATCATTGTTTCTTATTTTATTCTAAAAATGTCGACATTCAATAAGAACATTCCACGTGCCAAGTAGGGTTGTTCATGGATGGTTAACCGTATCGTTTAGCTTTTAATTGTTATAACGGTTATGAGATTTTTTAATCATATCTAATCATTAAGAAACGGTATATCTATTACAAACGGCTATTACAATTATTTGTCAATTTTTTTCATAATTCATATTAAAAAAATTATAATTTAACACATACTTACACCGGTGTAGTGAATAAAATAAAAATGTAACAATTACACATAATTACACTAGTGCAGTAAATAAAAGAAAAATGTAGAACACTTAACACATACTTACATCGGTATAAGTAAATAAAATAAAAAAGTATAATACTTAAGACATACTTACACTGGTGTAAGTAAATAAAATAACAAATTGTAACACTTAACACATACTTATATTGGTATAGTACGTGCATCTCTTAATATCTTAATACTTAACAATAAACACATAATTATATTGGTTATATTAGTGTAAGTATGTTTCTATATTTTCAAAGAAATAAAAAATTGAAAATAAAAAATACACTAAGTTATTTGTATACAAATTTTATTATATATATAAATTATAAATAATAGAAAATGATATTAAGTTATTTGTGTTAAAATATAATAAATTAGAAATATAATTATAAATTTAATTTATTAACGGTTATCTGGTTAACCGTTTATCAAAATTATAATCGTAATCTTAACCGTTCACCATCATTTGTAACGATTTGATTAACCGAAATCATTTAGTATTAACTATTTAATTAATTAACTTATTAAATGTAATTGTTAAAACGATTAACGGTTCCAGATTTTTTTTTAGCATCCCTAGTGCAAGCTCCCATCAAACCTTTTTTTATATATATAATTAGAACAGAAATGATAGTTAAATTAGTTGGATACCCAAAGGATATGAAGAAAAAGATTTAGTACCAAAATGTGGAAACAAATAAAATTCAGGGATCAAGAAAGAAAACTATAGGTCACAAGACCAGCTCGAAATCTTGGGCAATAAAAATACATGTTTAACGGAAGAATCATTTGAAACAAACAAAAGTATACCACTTAATTTCCACTCACGTTACTAAAATATTATAAAACCCCCAAATGGCCTAAGCCGATCATCCCATCATTTTCCTTTGCCAAGCTGTAGCCATGGTGGGAAGGGACCAAGTAAGGCCGCTAGCACCAGCCGCCGACGCTCGGAGCAGCGACGACGGCGAAGCCACTTCGCAATTAAAAAAGTCAAACGCAAGAAATTCATCAAATGCTGCGGTTGCATCGCTGCTCTAATCATCATCCTAGCCGTGGTCATCACAGTCTTGATCTTCACTGTGTTTCGAGTCAAGGATCCGATCATCAAATTGAACGGCGTTTCAATTACACATCTGGAGTTAATCAATAGTACAAGCACAGTTCCTATTCCTAGACCAGGGTCCAACATATCCTTAACAGCCGATGTCTCGGTCAAAAATCCCAACATAGCATCGTTCAAGTATAGGAACACCACCACGACTCTTTACTACTACAGCACCGTCGTTGGGGAAGCCCGAGGCCCCGGGGCAAGCGCAAAGGCCCGTCGGACGATGCAGATGAACATTACGGTTGATATCATGACGGATCGGTTGTTGGCTAGTCCAAATCTGGTTGCAGATGTTGGTTCGAGGACGTTGACCATGAGTAGCTACTCGAGAATTGGTGGAAGGATCAATATGTTGAGCATTATAAGAGGCATGTTACGGTGAAGATGAATTGCAGCTTTACAGTTAACATCTCCAGTCAAGCAATTCAAGGACAGAAGTGCAAGCGAAAGGTTTATCTCTAGGTTTAAGCTGTTTTGCCTCGTGCATTGCCATGTATTACACACACATACATACTACATATATATATATATATATATGATGTATATAATAATGACGGATAGGTGGAGTTATGGTATGATTATAATTTCTTTGCTATTGGAGTTTTTGTTTAACTTGGGTATACTGCAATAAATTCTTTTTCCTTTTCTGGTACAAAAACTGATTAATTTGGCATAAAATCCTCATTTTAGCAGAAGCAAGCTTATTATATTTTGGGGGACTAAGTCGGGGAAATAGTATTCTTAATTTACGGGCATAAATTGTTTAATGATTGAATCTAAAATTGTGTGAAAATGAAGGAAAAAGGTATTGGGTTCCCATTAGAAAGAGAAGGGAAATTATAGAAACAAACAAAGCGGCTAATACTAGTATGAACCCAAGGAAGCTTTCTCCATTGTTCCAATGTTTATTACTGTAGTATAATATCAACAAAGAAAAAAGCTGAGCATCTTTATGGACCAATTCTGGAGCACCACCACCAGCTGCTGCCGTCACAATCCTCCCAAATTTCTGGGCTTTTGGTCTTTGAGTACACACTGTATCAAGTTTTTTTTTTATAAAAAAAAGCATAATTTTTTCAAATAAGATGAATTAGAGGAGAAAAAACAAGATGAAAAGTCCAGGTGTTTGAGGAGGCGAGAATGAAAGTGAAATCACAGCCACAATAAATGCAGCTACCCGCTTCTCTTCCTTTCTCTCTCTTTCCTTCACCAAATGGATCCTTCCCTTGACCCCAAATGTCCACTCCTTCCCCTTCTATCTATCTCACCAATTTAGGCCTCGGCTATTCCATTGTCATCGCCGTCGGTTTCCTCGTCCTCCTCTCCACCGTCCTCCTCGCTTCCTACATCTGCCTCCGCTTCCGCTCCTCCTCTTCGCCTCGCGCTTTCTCTCCCAATCCAACCACCGCAGCCTCCAACTCCGATGGAATCGTACTCCCGAGAATCGTTTTCGTCGCCGAAGACGAAGTCAGTACTGAGAACATAGTCGTTGGACTCGACCAGGCCGTTATAAATTCTTACCCCAAGTTCCAGTTCAGTAATGAGTCGGCCGTTGCGAACTTCAACACCACGTGTTCGATTTGCTTGTGTGAGTTTAAGGATTCGGATATGCTAAGAATGATGCCTGAGTGTAGACATTATTTCCATGTCTTTTGCATCGATTATTGGTTGAAACTAAACGGGTCTTGTCCCGTCTGCCGGAACTCGCCGCTTCCGACACCACTTTCCACGCCGTTGTCGGAAGTCGTGCCTTTATCTCAGTTCGCTTCCGACCGAAGAAGATCTGGGTGACTTTTGGGTGCTCTTGTCTTCATTTTTAGTTAGGTAAGGAACACGAAAATTGGGATATTTCGATATTTTGGGATTTGTTTTATAAATTATATTCTCCTAACTTAAATTTCGGAAAAAGCAAATTGCAGCAATTTACGTTCTTTGAAACTTAGTTCAGGACAGATGAAGAAGAAGGATACGATGGAGAAGTGCGTTTCATACACAGAAGGATTGGGAGTGGAGAGATATTTGCACATGTAATGGGCCAATGCTTTATGAAGTGGAGTCGGCCCACCAAATCATCCACTATGTACCTAATACTCTTTCTTGGACTCGGGATGTGTATCTTCAAATTAATTATAAAATGTTTCATCTTCCCCAATTTTAGGATTTATGGTCCGAATTTAAATTGTTAAATGCATTAAACCAATTTCTTTAAAGAGATTTATGGCGTTTTATAAAATATATAGATTATTTTTTTTCTAAAAAAATACGAGATATGTTTTTAATTAGACCTCCAATTTTATAAAAAAAAATATAACTTTATTATTTTATTTTGGAATTTAAAATTTCATTTATATTAACTAAACATATTTTCTTATTTTAAAAAAACCGAAAATGAAAACTATATTTTAAAAAAGTCCTCAATACCGAACGGATATTTTGTTTTAAATGTTATATTAACTAATGTCTTCTTTGAAAATTTTAATGAACTTCGTTACTATTTTATCTAGAATTCTTATTTAATTAAATGAATACACGTGGTATTTATTTCATATTTTTTTATAAACTAAATTTTTAAATCATATTATTTTTTCTATATTTTATTTCCGAAAAATAGAACATCAAATTTTCATTTTTTCTCTACGAATAATTCTAAGCGGAACTTGTTCAAAAGTCTTTATGCAATTTACTTGATGTAAACCTGCAAAAATTCAAATCATTGCATGTTACTTCTGCCTACTTAAATTTATGACCTTTAAGAACTTCAACGATTCCTTTAACTACTGAAATAAGTTGGTTCGTGCTCGTTGATCATCAATATTAATACAGTAAATGTTGATATAATCAAATTTCATCATACTCTTTTTATGAATGTTGTTGTTCGTATTTACATCATCAAAAAGTAAATCATTAGAATTATCTATAAATATTTATTAACATAATTATATAAAACGAAACAAATGTGAAACTGGTGACTCGTATAATTGTTCGAATTAAAGAGTAATATTTTATTTATTATTAAAGTTATTTGATAGATTCGAAGGCAACATTCTTTTTTTTTTCATGATATGTTTGTCCAAACCAACCGAGAATAATAAAAAAATGTTAGTTATCTATTTTTACACATTAAACGCTTATATTACGGAATTACTAGCAAACCATATGTATTTGGATTAAAATTTGTCAATAATAGCATTTTCTTTTTGGTTTTGCTCTTTAAGAAAAGAGTAAATTACACCGTTCCTCACTAAACTTTACTTTCTCTCTTATTTTTCACTCAACTTTTAATTTGATCAATTTGTTTATTGAACTTTATAATCGAATCCTTTTGCTCACTCTGACCGTTTTCTCTCTATTAGCCGATGACATGGCATTTTTTTATTATTATTTAATATTAAATAATTTTAAAAGAATAAAAATATAAGGTGGCTTGATTCCACCACTGGCCACCGTCGACCGCCGTAGATGACGGTCATTCGGTCTTAAAATGGGATGGGTCGCTTCTCCTCGACACCTTGAGTTCGAATCTGACCTCTATTTTGTCGGAAATTGCTCTGAAGTCCACAAATTTGATATTGAAAGTAAGGAAACCAAAACGTTTCAGTCCAAATTCACGGATTTTGTGATATTTTTTCCGATGAAACAAAAACTAAATTCATACTCAGAGGGTCGAGACGAAGTGTTGGGACTGAACGGACACCATTTACGGAGGTCGACTGTGGTCGGAATGAAAATGACATGGTGGTGGGTGGAGAGAAAATGAAAAGGTGAAGGAAAAAGGATAAATTACACCATGAGTCATTGAACTTTACTCTATCTCCTATTTTACTCACCAAAACAACGTCATTTTGGGTAGTATATTTGAGTTTCTCAAAACGATGTCGTTTTGATGCCGTGTCACATCATAATGCCATTAATAGTTAATGGCAGAGTGAGCAAAATGATTAAATCTGAAAGTTTCAGTGAGCAAATTGATCAAATTGAAAGTTGAGTGAAGAAAATAAGAGAGAAAATTTCAGTGAGGAATGGTGTAATTACCCTTAAGAAAAAAGGGGGAATATTGTCTGTAAAAAACAGCAGTTTATAAATAACAGCCATTACTCTGTAATCTGTTTCCAAAAACCAAAACAAGAATCGGTTGAAAGCTAGGGGTTGAAGGTTTAGGTAAAAGCCAATTCAGAATCCCCAGGCAATGGAAACAATTCAATCCCAGTTAAATACATACACAGAAAACATAGCAAGTGGGATTCTTTTGATTGGTTTATTTATGTATCCTTTTCCCTTTGTTAATCTCTCTTCTTCTCGATTTGCATTCTGGGTTTTTCTTTTTTGGATGGAGGGTGAGAGAAGTACATTACCGCGACGTTTTGAAAGAACACAACAAGCAGAGAGATTTGTGGATCTCAATCCAAGGTAAAGTTTACGACGTTTCAGTTTGGGCTAAAGAGCATCTCGGCGGTGAAATCCCGATTTTAAATCTTGCTGTCCAGGATGTTACCGATGCGTTTATAGCTTATCACCCTGGAACCGCTTGGCAATATCTCGAAATGTTCTTCACTGGGTATTATCTCGAACACTTCAAGTCTCGGAGGTTTCCAAGGATTACAGAAGGCTCGTCTCTAGAGTTTTCCAAAACGGGTCTGTTCGAGAAGAAAGGGCACGTGGCTTTTGTTCATTAGCATCCGTGGCCGTCATGTTCGTCGTTGTTCTTTACGGTGTTTTGAGATGCGAAAGCGTCTGGGTTCATCTGGGTTCGACTATGGTATTGGGCATGCTCTGGATGCAAAATACGTACGTCGGTGGGTCTGTTCGAGAAGAAAGGGCACGTGGCCTTTTGTTCATTAGCATCCGTGGCCGTCATGTTCGTCGTGTTCTTTACGGTGTTTTGAGATGCGAAAGCGTCTGGGTTCATCTGGGTTCGACTATGGTTGGGGCTGGATGCAAATACGTACGTCGGTCATGATTCTGGTCATTATCAAGTAATGTCTAGCCGTGGCTGCTACAAGCTGGCTCAGATTATCACCGGGAATTGTTTGACGGAATCAGCATTGCCTGGTGGAAATGGACTCACAATTCCTGCAACAGCTTGGATTACGACCCCGACCTTCAACATATCCCCGTTTTCGCAGTCTCGTCCCGGTTTTTCAATTCGTAACGTCTTGCTTTTACGGACGGAAGTTGAATTTCGATCCACTGGCGAGTTTTCATCAGTTACCAGCGTTGGACGTTTTACCCTGTTATGTGTGTCCAGGTTGAACTTGTATTTACAAACGTTTTGGCTGTTGTTTTCACCAACCCGGCAAGTCCCGGATAGAGCTTTGAACATACTCAGCATCCTTGTGTTTGGACTTGGTTACCTCTCTTGCTTCCGTATCTAGCGATTGGCCGGAACAGTTAATGTTCGTCCTCGTGAGCTTCGCTGTTACATCGATTCAACATATCCAGTTCTGTTTGAATCATTTCTCGGCAAATCCAGTTGGAGCACCATTGTTCCCAGGTTGCCTCGTTGCCAATTGAGGAAGGTTTCTCCAGTGGTGAAAGATCTTTGCAAGAAGCATAATTATCTTACCGGAGTTTGTCATTTTGGGATTCGAATGTGTCGACGATAAGGACTTTAAGAACTGCTGCTCTGCACTGCAGGCGAGACCTAAGCAACCCTGCTCCGAAGAATTTCCTGTGGAAGCTGTAATACACATGGTTGAGGGCTCGAAGTGTGAATACTCAAATTTTCTTTCTTTTGCAGTGTTTTTGGGTGAAAAATCCCAGCTTTTTAGACAACCACCCAGATTATTTGTGCTCTGTTTTTTATTTTATAAAAAATTATAATAGTAATACAAATCCAAATTTCTACCTTGATTTTCTTTTGAAAATGTTTTTCAATCTCCAACAGATAAAACTAGTACACAATTTGGGACATTCATGAACACCAAAAGGATGCTGTTAGCTTACATACGAATGAAAAAAATACTAACATGTACACAAATAATGCATCTTTTCTAGCAAAAATAAAAAGAATTAGCAAACTTAGATTCTACTAACATGGATGCAAACACACACATGAAATTAAAATGATGTTACTAATGTTGAATTTGTATTTTCCATTTCTTCATCGGAGAGGGGTTCACATACTTGCCTAATGCCTTTTGACGGTGTTTATGTCTCATCCTCTCTTGTTTATCCTTGCTTTTTTGCTTCCTTTTCTCTTTCTGTCGGTTGCGGAGGTTTTTCTCTCGATCGAGTACACCTTGCCACACAACCTCGCCTGTTGACGGCCATAACCATCGTTTTTTGGGGTGGTCGGAATCTGCCTCCTCAGCCAAGTCCTCATCCATGGCCTTTAAAGTGTTCAAGGCAAACCATTTCACCCACATTTTACCCCTCCGATGCTTGAACGAGTGATATTCATGCATCACACCAGTCTCGGGATTCACATACACCATCCGCCGTGCACTGTGGTATGCCCAAACGTTACAAGTAGCTCAAGGATCCGTGAGTAGCAGTGCTCGTCCTGTAGAACAAAATCACTACTTTGAACGCCGTTCATAATCGTAGATTCGTACGGGTAAATTAAGTTATAGACCCTTAACGGTAAAAGGGCCCGGAGTGATTTCAGTGGTCCGACAAACAGATACTTCACAGGAATATCAATGCAATAAGCAAGTTACCTTTGAGAAACTCAGAGAACAGTGACCACTTTGATGGTGCTCATCATACATTTGTGCATCTAATGCATCCACAAACATCCTGCAACGAGACGAGTTAAAACTTTGACATAGTTTAAACGGGTCATGGAGATAACCATGAATTGTACAATAAATATCACCTTGAAAACATACAAACTCGAGAAAGGACTTTGTCGGCAAAGCCCAACTGTGCATGACAGACCATGTGCCTCCATCTTGAGGCATGGGTGGCAAAGACGTTAAACCGGTAGTTATGCTATACATCCTTTTAAAAGTATCAGAGAATGCAAACCTGCAATGGAATGGTAAATGAGGCTAGCAAAAACGCTAACACAGTAAATACATTAACGTATTTTGTACAATTCCATGCTTTTGTCTTCAAAATTAACTGATAAACTTTAAAGCTCTTACTTGCAATTTCCAGCAT